TGAGCGAGGGGCGGGCGCAGCACCGAGGGTTGCGATCCCGTTGCCGGTCCCGGTCAGGTACCGGCGCGACACTGAGGGTTGCGGTCCGCTGCCGGACATGAAAAAAGACAAAAAGGAAAAAAAAGAGTCCACACTAGACACAAACTCCCATGAGGGCAAGGATCTTGGCTTTCACTGCCACTGAGGCCACATCCTTGTATCCCAGTGTCCTGCTGTGCAGGCTGTGGTAATCATTTACAGAGTATGGGAAAGTATGTTCTGTGCAGAGCTCTTATTCAGCAAATTAACAGAGAGGCATTTAAGATGCGCCTCCCCCTGCCCACATCCCCTGCCACCAATCCAGAGGCAACCAGCTTATCCAAAGCTTGAAAAAGGTCAGAGAGAGAATGTTACAAGAAGGAAGCGTATAGTGAGAATTTTTTGAAATAGTCATTTCTCAGATCCAGGATAGCAATGTCTCTCTTATAAGGTTGCAGTATTTTTATAGAACCTGTGTATCCAACATGTGAACCCACTGTCAAAATGCAGCCAGTCTGAGGTTTGTAATGATATTTATCATCTGATTAGCAGCATGCAAAGCTGGTACTTCAGGGCAATCTGACCACCTGTGCCGCACAGCTCTGCGGCTGTGGTTGATAAGGTTTGGGCTCATTAGCAATTGCTATGGAAGCAGAATGGAATTAATTATACAAATTTGAGCTCTTTGGTTTAATTCTATTGACTCTAGTATTTGTGTTATTTATTTTATTCATGAAACTTGTCCTTTGTGAATACCTGACAACATGGAAATAGAATAAGATCTTGGGATGTTCTTAATTCACATTTAGTCATGTGCAGTATAGTTACATGTTAAACAGAGCGCCATCAACCAAACATCAATACCAATAAAAACTCACAAGGCCTCAGAACATACTGATTTCTGATCATGTGGCCCAATGCAGAAAATGTGCAAAGGTAAACAGCAGGCCTGCACCACATTTCTACCCTGTATTTTCCTTTTTCACCCCATATAGGCTACCTTTAGTTAAATTTTGCAGCTTTCATTGTTTTGACCAACCTGTGATTCGTCCAATGGTCCCATTGGTCCTTCTTCCAGCCTCCCCAGCAGCGTGGGAACCCAGGCTGTGGCCAATGACGTGGACGTTGGAAGGTGAGTACCCGAATGAGGACTGTCGGAAAGAAAAGCTCTTGAGAATGTTTTCAAGGATGGCAGAATTCAAGATGGGCACAGGAGAACCTCCGAAAACCTGAGTTTTAAGACACACTGCTCCTTCAGAGCAATTGACTTTCCTATTTTTTTCCCTACAGTTATAATGAAAAATGGAAATGGGCTTAACTTTAAACTTGTGGAAATCGGGACCTACTTTGCTGTTTTTCTATGTACAGAGAACCCTTGACGGACGTGAGGACTCGTCACCCAGAGATGATGAAGCAAGTATTTGGGTTAGAAAATGATAATGATAGCAATTATTTAAACACACTTAAGTATTACATTTTTTATGTTTTTGATCAACCAACTAGGTTAGCTTGGGAAGTCCAAATTCCATGTGGTGTGGTGACATTGACCCAGAAGTCTCACATTACAAAATGTTTGAAGCACAGAGAACAGAGAACGGCTCTCCTATCTCTTCTTTAAAGCCCTCAGAACCACACCCCTGACCACCATTATTAACCCATTCACTACAGCACGGTCCTTACAATCAATCACCTCTTCAAGGCCCCACCTTTCAATGATCATAATAGGATTTCCCACCCTCAAGAGTCACAGTGGGGGCAACTTTCTAGTATACAAAACTTGGGGGACACAATTCAAGCTTCAGTGAGTTTTGTGGGGAAACAATTCAATCTACCGCAGTGCTCCTTCAGAGCAATCGATTTTCATATTTTTTTCCTTACAGTTATAATGAAAAATGGAAATGGGCTTAACTTTAAACTTGTGGAAATCGGGACCTACTTTGCTGTTTTTCTATGTACAGAGAACCCTTGACGGACGTGAGGACTCGTCACCCAGAGATGATGAAGCAAGTATTTGGGTTAGAAAATGATAATGATAGCAATTATTTAAACACACTTAAGTATTACATTTTTTATGTTTTTGATCAACCAACTAGGTTAGCTTGTTATCATTGTGCTTCTCTTAAAAACCAAAACTAAAACTCAACACCTAGTTTACTCTTAGAATTGACATTGCTATGTCAACTTGGTAATAACTGGTAAAATTAAAACAAATAGTTGTGGAATTAAGTAGAGATAATCTACCTAGTCACTTAAATAAGTCCATTAAACAAACAAATAAGCAAACAAAAACCAAACTAGTGTATCGACCTAACTAGGGTTATTGATAAAGTCCAAATCTAGATGTTTTATGCATTTTTCTTCTCAATCAAGGAGAAAGCAGTATCTCAGCAGATAAATGTCTTTACCAATCATCAGAGCTACAGCCTTTTCTTGGAAAGAGAATTCAGAGAGTGATGTGTATGGGCTCTCATACAACCCGCAGGGAGTTTACCTGAAGAAATTCAACCAAATATGCCACTTCTGCCCCCACAATCCGGACATTCTGTGTGGCCTTTGTGTATGTAGTTCGGGAGCCACTTTTCCAGTCCACACAGATACAGTTCACGCTTTCCACCTGGAACATGTTCTGGTGGGAGAGACACAATAACTAGGTTTGTAATTCACGGTCTTCATTAATTTTTAATTAACACTTTGGAGGACCAGGATAAATTCCCTCCTTGACCTCTATAATATCGGGTCACTTTTCCCCCAAACCAGTGAACAAAATTTCTAGTCTAGTGTACATATGGAATCCCTCCTAAAGTTTAGCATGGGCTCTAACCTTTAGGTTTGCCATCCTGGAAACTGGATTCTTGGGATTTCTACCATTACAAATGTATAGATATTTGATTCAGGGAAAACGCATGAAATTTGATACAATGGATCGTCTAGTTAGAGTATCCTAAATGTCATAAGACAACATTGTCCCTTACTAGGATGCCCTCAAGGACATTGCCTGTCTGTTTACTGCTATATCCTGGTGCTGTATCCTCAGCGCCTAGTGATCGTCTAGTTAGAGTATCCTAAATGTCATAAGACAACATTGTCCCTTACTAGGATGTCCTCAAGGACATTGCCTGTCTGTTTACTGCTATATCCTGGTGCTGTATCCTCAGCGCCTAGTTTCTAGCACAGAGTAGGTACTCAATGAAATTTGCTGAATGAGTGAAAGACTATGTTATGACCCCTTAATGATATACTTAGAAAATTAAGAAGTAAGCTTTCCCATGATAGATCAACACATTTGGTTGTACATCACTGAAGAGTTCTTTCACATCAAAACATAGCATTCCAGAAATCTAGTAAAAAATTTGTTTGATATGGAACAATTGTGGTTTCATGAAGGTTAGTTCTGGAAAGAATTTTGTTTGAGTGTATATTTACATATATCTTCACCTTTTCCCAAAAAGTGTTAGAGAATAATGAGGCAATCTTAGAAATCATCTCCAATTCTTTCATTTTACAAAAGGAAAAATCAAGAGCAGAGAACTGATTTGTTAATGCTGTGGTCAGCTCGGATAGAGCCAGTACTGGAATCTGGAGACTTTAGCTTTCTAGTTTAATCCACTGTATTCTCTATCATAGTACAACAGTGTGGTCAAAGCCCAGTCAACTGCAAGAAGAAAATTGAATGCACATGTCTAGAAAATGTATAATCCCTTGAGCTAAAAATCATTTTTTCTTCACTGTTGTATATAAATCTGTCCTACTCTCTTCCCCAAAATCATCAGCTTTAAATTATTCTGGAAGACAAGTGGTGGTTTTACTAATTGTTGCTGAACTTCTGAAGAGAATGGACTCTAGATAGTTCATCTGTCTTCAGGATCAATGGATATGCTCTGGAGTTGACTTGGTTCAGCTGTTGGGCTGAGTCTTAGGCCTGGAATTAAATGCATTTAGGAGGACCTTTGTGTCTTTTTCTTGACACCTCTGAAGAAATGACTACACATTTGTGCCACAGGGGGCCACAGAAATTTGATGAATACATTAATAAATACACAAATAAATAATCAATAATAATGTTCCTCAAGCGCCAGCAGTTAGTAGAAAAAATTTATTCTATTTGATTTTCTGTCTTTTAATTCTTCATTATCACTAGGCACATAGCCAAAGGCAAATTAAATAAACTAAATTTACTGTTGTTGAAACGTCAGAAGCTGGAAATGAAATCCTGCAGTTTTCCTAAGTATTGCTGCCAGAGGAGATCACAGAACAGCAAGTGAACATTGAAAAAAAATGAGTTAGTTCAGGCAAACTAAGAGCTCTTGGCTTCTCATATGAAATGAAAAGCTAATGAGGAATAGGGGCCTATAATCAGCTGGTATGCACCTGTATGGCAGCTTCTGTTGCTAAAATTTTGAGACACCACCATATTAGATATGAAATAACCACTACCGGGAGCCAGCAAATTCCTGACTGTCCCAGGCCCACTCTGCACACCACCACCTCCTGGACCTCCCCTGGTAATCCTCAGGCCTAGAGGGGTCTGAGGATTGTCCATGCCATGGTGAACAGCATTTGTCCTCTGTTGAGGCCAGCACTTTACCAGTTGTTAGTTATCACACTGGAAACAACCTTCCGTTAAATGATGACAATGTCTCACCTTGCATAAATTGGCCAGCCAGCTTTCTTCTCCTGTGTCTATGAATCCGTGGATAATAAAACGGGTTTTTCTACTTGTTTTGAAATTGGAGCTACTGATAGTTGATGAATCTGCAGCAAGTTTCTGTTTTGTAGAGAAAAATGTTTAATATGAACTTTCATACAGTCTGCAGTAGAACCATTTATACGTGAAAATGGTGGTGGGTGAACAGTCAAACCATGCACAATCATGACCACAAAACCATTCCCAGGCATCACAACATTTTTCAGTTGTTCAACTTAGGATAATATGTCTGCTATAATATTGGTTGTAAAAATCTTGTCTCCACACAATGGAAAGCTTTGTGTGTGCATGTATGTGTGTGTGTGTGTGTGTGTCCACATATATGAAGTCCCTTTGAAAAGTTTGTGGAAAATGGAATTAAAAGATACTTCAAATCTTTCCTGGACTCTTTGAAGACTCCAACTAGTATGTATAATCTATTAATTTATCTATCTAATATAAAAAGATATGAACATTCATATGTATATATATAAAACACACACACATAATATTGGAATATGTATATATATATATCATACCAGAGTATTTTGTATTTTACATATATTATCTATATAATCCACCTATATCAATATATATAAAATACATATGAGTGTCTTTTAAAAAGTTCACAGGAAGATACATATTCTCTTTTAATTCCATTTTTTCACAAACTTTCTGAAGTACCCCCATATGTATTCACCCCCATATTTAGAATAGTCATTAAATGGTGCCATGGAGGTAGGACAAGAACAATATGAAGTATATGGACCTTTTATAAACAAGTTACATAAAATAATACTTAAGCTCACTACTCTAAAAGTCTACAAAGGTGCAAATTCCACCATCTGACTTTTTGTCTTTGGAGACTCGAATATTCAGTGTCCTGACTACATAAAACAGACGGGACTGAGTCCCCGATCAGCGAGCGGCCTTACTTGGTAGCTGTCCGGGTTCTCGTTGGTGTACAGGAGGAAGCGGGTGTTCACGTCTTCTGGAGAATCGGGCAGTACTGTGAGGGGTCTTTGTGTTGTTCCTGCCCATGGCGCTTCATTGCTGAAGCAGCCGAGTCTGTCGTAGCAGACCTCTTTTCCTGCAATCACCAGAAGTGTTTCAGGGATGTTAGTTTAACCAGAATGCTCCTTTCAGTGGTCTCTCTGCTGTAATATGCATCAAATTATATTTCGTGGCGCATTGCCTCCTCTGCATCCCCAAATGCCCTTCTGCCACACACTCGCAACGAAACAGCTTCAAGAAGCAGCGCCCTGTGAAAGAGAAGCTCCTGTCCTCATTTTCAGCAGGTACGAACTTCTCGCTTCCCTTGTGTCTCTGCTCAGTCCTTGCAGGGACTTGTTTTATCTTCTCAACTCAGATGTCTCCCTTGCGATCTTGGGACCCAATAAAAAAGCTGCCCTGTGTCCCCAGGCCTTGGTCAGGAGCCATCACTGGGCTTTGGGCTTTGAATGGAGAAGAGTTAAGTTTCTTGCAAGAGCTGAAACTTCACATCTCTGCTCTGGCTGAGTCTTTAGATCTCTGGCCTGTGCTCGAGGGGCACCCTGGATTCCTGTGCTAAAGACATTGCTTGTAAATGATCAAACAAAACGTCATAGTTTGACAGAACTCTAGGCTTGAATGTTACCCTGTAAAGGAACAACTCAAAGGCAGAGCTCTCGAGGATGATCGATTCCAGGTTAATCGTAAGAGTAAGGGTAGCAGCTGCCGTGGGGGCTGCATTTCTCAGAATCTTACTATGTGTCAGGTGCTGGGCAAGACGATTTACGTGTCATACCCAGTCCCACAGTTATCCTGTGAGGGGGTGATGTTAATATCCCTATTTCACAGAAAAAGATACTGACACACAGGGGGGTAAAGGATATTTGCTCAGGGCACAGGTGCAGATGGTAAAACCACGGTTCGAACCGCTCACTTTGACTTCAAGCTAGGGTTAGTGGATTCAGCAAATAAAAGCACAAGTTAAATTCGAATTTCAGATAAACAGTGAATTTTTTTTAGGATAAATATGCCACATACTCGTCATTTGTCTGAAATACTTGTTCATCTGAAATCATGTTTAACTGGGCACCGTAGATTGTGCTCTTCTTCACGCGTCTCCCTCACTCTCCTCATCCTCACAGTGGCTTGAATTCAGCGGTCATAGCCCTTCTTGCAAGTCCTGAGCAGTGAGTGAGTCTCTCCCAGCTCCACATACACATGTTCTCTTACCTGCTACTGCTCCCAGCAGCAGTGACAGTGTCCAGAGCAGCAGCATCTACGTAAAGTTACAAACATAATTGAGTCTGGCTAGATAAGTTTCTAAGTTATTGAAATAATTTAAGTTTATTTAGACCTCTGGGAGAAAATGGGTAAGTTCCTGGAAAAAAATATATTTTTGACTCACCTTGGCAGTTGCGTCAGGGTCTGCACATAACCAGATAGCAACGAAAGGTCCTTTTATAGGCAAACCTTATCTTTTGACCAGTGCCATGGAAAAGCAGAATGAAAGAGGGAATGTTCCAAGGATGTATTTCTAATTTTAGTCATAGATAAACCAAAATTGATAGAGTAAAAAAAGTTTACTACAACATTTGTGAGAAGATGAGAAAGAGGTAGATATGAAAAGTTCCCTCAATTTGATCATATAATGTTCAGAGTCACCGTAATTTCATTATGGTGAAGGTTCTAATTGGTCCCCTTTTTAGTTTACAATTCTCTGTGCTTATCTGTGGGCATGTGTGAAGCTGAATTATTTTCACAGCTTTGATAACAGCAGTCTTGACAACAACTACTAACAGCTTACCATGTCATATGGTTTTTGTCTGACCTTGCCTTACCCTCAGAAAACAGTGAAATAGAAGCAGTTCTTCTTGGGAGTTTACTCCTTTCACAAAAGCAGTTGATATTTTATTTTGATAGACCACATAACTAATTTATTTCTCAGCAATAACATGGAAGGAAGAATACACAAGCTAACAGAAGGAATTGGTATGTTGAGAGCTTAGACATAAAATCAATGACCCCACCGTCAGATGAAATTATGAATAATAGTGAATAAAAATTGAACTTGGACAAAAATGGTCTGGGGAAAATAATCTGAAAGAAACATTTTTAATAGAAAAGTATGTGTATATATGTAGTTTATGATAGATTGCATAGAATAAATTTTAGAAAGATTGCAATGGGATACCATCATTTTAAGAGATCAGAACTGTGTAGCCTGACAGTGTCATAGACACAGGTTGAATCCTACGCAGTTGCCACTTTTGAAGGTCAAAAATGATCAGGTCATATTTCAGTCTTTTAACAAAGTTTACAGGGACATACAATAGCAACAAAATTATTTGTGTACACAGAAGGTTCAAGAAAGTTTGGCAAGGGAAATGTTAAAATAAGGACAGAAAGCACACAGAAAGAATTCCACAATGGGAGCCATAGCCAATTCCCACTGGATCTTTCATATCTCAGTCCTTAATCCCCTCCTCAGGGAGTCTTCTTTAGCCCTGATTACGGTGGTTCGCTTTCCTCTAAGAATGCCTCACCTTACAACTTTTCTCTCTTGAGACCCATCCCAATCAATTGTGGATCTGAAGCTCAGAGAGGTTATAATTCTCTGGGTCTTGTCACATTTTAGTATCTAGCCCAGTGCTTAGTACATACCAGGTCCTCAGCACATCCCTGTTGAATGAACAAACAAATGAGGGAATAAATATGAAAAGCAATTGATTTTGCATAATTGATACAGTAACAACTGCCTGCACGGTCTCACAGTAAAGAATTGTGGGACCTCTTTTACTCAAAGCAAAAAGAACAACAAAACCAAAAAACCATCCAGAATCTTCTAAGAACTGAAGACTTGCATCTCTGTAGTACTTAGTCATGGTAATGCTATATTGACCCAACAATCATATCCTACTGCAGCCAATGTTCACTCTGGGTGCACCATGATGTAATTTACGTTTTGTGTGCATTACCAAACAATTCACACAACATTTCCAAGGTGGCATTTTAGGTGGTACAAAACTTAAGCCACAAATGGAGTGCCTTTTGCTCATATAGGCTATAGAGTTAAGACAAAAATTCCCCCAATTCTGAAACAGGGACTAGAGATTATGGGGAGTTATTTTGTAAACTGAGATAGGTTCAAATTTTAGAATGTTTTAGGGAGATTCAATTTTTCAAGTGTGACAAAGTCTAATAAGTTAATGGTAGATAGTCATCACTCCATAATGTCAGCTTTGGATGAATGGCTTCTCCTAGTCTGATCCTACTGAACTCTTTAGCTGGGTTGTGAAATTTTATAAAAAATATTGTTTCATTTAGGCCACTAATATGCTTTCTAGGAGTGTCTATTAATGTCATGTGTCATGTGGCAGAGATTTCTGGCATCTCCTTTCAGGGAGTAGAAGTAGACTCCATTCCCCAACTTCCCATGGCAGGAAGTCGGGGCCACATGACCAACTTCAGGCCAATGAGACATGAACACATAGATGTGCATCTGTCCAATCATGTTCATTACAACCCACATGTGGTCCTTCATGCGCCTTTCCTTGTGTGGCTTGATGTAGACAAGCACGACAACCTTGGAGGCCATGTGTTACAGCTGGCAGAACCACAGGATGGAAGCAGCCTGGGATCCCTGCTGGGAGGAAACCTATCCATTGCTAATAAGAACCCTTTTAGGATCACATATGAGCAAGAAATAAACTCTTATTATTTTAAACTACTTAGATTTCAGAGTTATAGCAATTAACATTACCCTGACAAACAGATTTTATTTAATTTATGTACTGTTTCTTCCACTTTGGGGATCAGTCCAGATACCAAGCATCCAATCCTGGGCTGTGAATTTCACCATGAGTTTTGGATGGTACTATGCATAACAGCAACACTTATTAGACTTTTTGCGTAGTACTTAGTTTTAAACAGCTTTGTCCTGCTACTTCTCAAAATACAAACAACAACAACAGCAAACCAAAAAATTGATGAATTTTTCACTTTGTTTTGGTAGAATTTTAATTTTAATTTTGATCTTATTGGGCATTTTTAGTTCAGACCCTGGTGGTGACCGTTGTTTCACAGTCACTGTGAGATCATACGATACCCCGGTGTTTAGTGGAAATGCACCTTACATTATCTGGACCTGTGTTTATTTTTTTGTTATTATTTTTATTTTTTTGCCTTGTTGCAAAACCCTGCTTTCCACCAGCCTCTGCTACTTGTTACATATCAGAATTGTAGGCTGAAAGGTGGGCCCTGCAAAGGGTGCTAAAGCTATGGCAGCCCTCCCCCAGCTACCTCATGACATTGCGGCCGAGTTTGGCTCTCATTGTAAAATAATTTTGTGTCTCCTAGATGCTGAAGAATATTGCATGGCATTAACTCAACTTTTACTTTGATATTTTGGACTTTTAAAAATAAAAATGCCAAACTTGGATGATTCCAATCAAGTAACTATATTGGCATTGGAATTAAATATTGACTTGAGTTTAAGCTCTGATTTTGGCAACACTGTGATACCAAACTCCAGGTGAGGGAAAGAAGGACTCAGGGAACACTTGTGTGGACAGATAAACAGGACGTTTGCCAAACAGGGTCTCATTTACTTAACCTTCAGAGAAGTTGGCTTGCCCTCCTCTTATTTAGCTCAGTCTAATGCCAGGGTCATTGATGGGAAGGAAAACGTGCTTGCCTAGGACTCCAAATTCCCTGAGCAGAAAAATAGTGTGATGATCTGGGGACTGTTTTTGCTTAACGCCTTCCAGAGCAACCATCCCACCAAAGTGAAGGGGTGTAGTTCACCCAGACACAGGGAGTGAAAGTACAGTAAACTCTCCTTGGTTGTGCATAAAGATGTTTTAGTTTGTGGAATACAATAGCTAGCATACCTAAAATTTTATAGTTTTAATTATTTTGATTTCTATTCTTTATAAGATTTTTGCATTTAATTCTCACCAAACCCATAGAAGGTTTAGCTATTTGTCTTATAGAGACAATGAGGCTAAGAGAGTTTCAGCAGCCTGCCCAGGGACACAGAGTTGGTAAGTAGGAGAGCTGCATCTGGAGGGATAAATTCTTTCCACCAGCCCCAAATGACTTGTTTGTGTCAATCCCCAGAAGCCATGTTCTCCCTGGCTGTGTTACTCTGGAGCTGATATAAAAAAATGGTCAGGAATGATTAGAGCAGAATGTTAGTATGTGTGTGTGTACACCCCTGTGTAAGGCAAGGCATCTGCTTTCCAAAACAAACTCACACACGTAGTGGTCGGATAATCAATTTTTTTGTTTTTTTGTATTTTGGTTCTCTACCACTGATGTACTATATAGCATTTTTATCAAACAGAAACGCAACTTTTTTTTTTTTTTTTAAGAAATGCAACTTTTGTGATATTGATTATGACAATCCTTTTTTGGACCATCACAGTAATGTTCTAACTGCTCTCCTTGCCCTTAGGCTGTCTCTTCTTTTGTCTGTCCTATATACACTGCCAGACAATCAGTTCTAAAATGCAAACTGGTTATGCTACTGTCCTTTTTAAAACCCCAGTCCCCCTTCCTCCGCCCTGTGATCTCTAGATCAGCACTGCCCTATAGGAATATAATGCAAGACACATTAAAAAAAAAGTAAAAGGAAACCACTAAAATTAGTGTTAACAATTTATATAATCCAATATATCCAAAATAATATAATTTCAACATGTGACATTAGCCACATTTCCAATAGTCAATGATCATCTGTGGCTAGTGGCTACCATATTGGATCACACAATTTTAGATCAAGTTTATTCTCCCTAACATCACAAATAAGGGTTTACCCATCCAGTTGGCTTTTCAGAGGTACGTAACCCTATTGTATATCTACATGACCCATTTTGTAGCTACTCTAAACTCCTTTCAAAATATTAACTCTTAAGTGGCTTGGAATGAAATCCAATGATAGGGTTTTAAGAAATAGAATAACAAGATTTTCCAGGTGCCATTAAGTAGGAAGACAGAACAAATAGGTAAAGATGCAAAATTCAACAGACCCAGAGGTCACAACATGCATATTGGGAGGTGTGTTGAAAGAGAAAAATAATGAGAAAGCACAAAAGAGAAAAGAAAAAAAAAAAAGAAAGAAAGAAAAGAAAAAAACCCACTAAACTGATAACTTGTACTAAAATTTTTTTTTGTTTCAGTACCTAAGATGATTTGGGTTTTGAACAATTAAAAATTATTTCATGATCCTCACACAGGGGCAGGCTAAGCCAGTTGTTGTCATACCACGTGCATTTT